AATATACAAATAAATAATAAATTCCCGCTCTTTTCATTGATTCTCAACGAAAACAACTATAGTTGACGAGAAGTCTTTCAGTATACAGATGATGCGTCAGGTAACAAAGCTAAAGGTATACGTGAGTTCCACATTTCAGCTCCGCAGAAGCTGCGCTAACAAGTTTTTTTTTTCTTCGACTCAATTATGATTTCTCTTCTGATCGAAGCGAGAGCTAGAGGAGAACACAATAAAATACGGAAAAATGTCTTCTCAAGCAGTTTCGAGACGATTTATTATGACAGCAGAGAGAATGGCTGAGAGAATTTTCCATTTTTCTTGTGAAATGTGATGATGAATGCATTTTGGATCCGTCCAATTTTACCCTCGAGATAACCATCGGATTCTCCATGACAAATTACCCGATTTAGTAATAAAAAATCAACTTTCGACTTTCGACCATGACAGAATACATAGCGAAAACTTATTTTCCGTTTTTCTTAAAATCTGTTTTTGAGCACAGTTCTGAATTGTGCCACGGACAACCTCCCTTTTTTTTCCGATCGAGCTGAAATTTTTACCACAGATACTTTGGGCTATTCTCTAGAGGTAGTTTCTGCCGTTTTCGATTCTCATGCCTCCTTTCGACTTTATATGGTTTTTCGTGTCAAAAACCAGGATTTCTGGAAAACCTTTTCGTATTTTTTTTCTAAGAAAAAAAACGAAGCAAGGTTTTTCAAAACGGCGAAAACCACCTCTGAGATATGGCGATAGGTACTCCCAGTAAAAATTTCAGCTCGATTGGACGACTTCTCCTACCCTCATCCAATGGCAAGGTGAGGACCTACAGAAAACCCGAGTTTTTGATCAAAAACCATGAAGACGAGCTCTGAGAAATTTTTCCAAAAATACGTATCTGGTCATTTTGGGTCCTCTATCTGTGGTAAAAATTTCAATTGAATCAGACTTGCCATCGTGGAGATCTGAGAAGCATGAAAAAAATAGGGATACCCTTATTAATATCCCATGAGCCTCCAGTCAGACTGGGGCCCAATCTACTGGAACTGGTACATTCCTACAGGATATCTCTAAATAATACCCCATGAGCATCCAACGGTACCTCGAAATAATAGCGCATAGGCAGCCAATTCGAGTGGACCCGATCCTCCAGTTCCGAACTGGAACCAGTGCATTTCTAAAGGGGAGTACGCGTTATAGAAGTCTCACTTTTTCTCTTGAATCACACACAAACACACATTCAATTTTACAGTTAAAACTCGGACTATAGGTAAGAGAATGGAGAAGCACAAGGAAATGCAAGGAAGTACAAAGGGAGTACGAGGGAGTACGGGAGTCTCGCTTTTTTTCCCTTAATACAATCACATAGACATTGCTTCTCTCGCGTATCGATGCTGGCAAAAAAATGAGCTCATACAGATGATTCTATCGTTTTTTTACAGGACTGTCTATGTATGATCGACGAGATGTGTGTAAGCGGCAACATCTCTGGTCCGTAGTCAAAATCACCAAGAGATTTCTTAGAGTCATTTTTTTAAATCTTACCCATCATCAGAAATAACTGGTATTTGGTCAAAACCTCTCGCATACATTATATCAAGTACTGACTGAATTGTTGTATTTGCTGATACTGTAATAGGTTCACGAATTAGTAAACTTGATATAGATTTTGTCTGCCACCATTCATTACTTGGTTTATCTTTAATACCAAGAAAACCATGATCATACATCCAATCATCACTCAAAAATTTCGTCCTACATTTATTCAAAAACAAACAATTATCATCTGGAAAATCAACTCAAATTCTTACATATAATTTCGAACAGAATCTGGTAAGATAACAACACAATTTTGATTTTCAGTTAGATTAAAATCTTTGCATGCTTGTAGAGCACATGCCATAGCTGCACCTGATGAACCACCACAAAGTATTCCTTCATCTTTAATTAATTTTCTGGAATATTTAAGTGAAATCATATCCGTACTTTTATACCAACGATCAACTAATGATCGATCGAGTACAGTTGGAATAAAGTCATGTCTATTTTTCAAACTTTTTTTATTTCAATCTTATTTTTGTTCTATCTCGAAAATCACATACCCAATTCCTTCGACCTAAGACAAAAACTTAAATTAATATGTTACGAAGTCAAATAAATAAATACTTCATAAAATGTAATTCCAATTTTATTCATTGCTTCAGGTAAAGCTAATATTGAACCTTCTGTATCAACACCAACGATAATACAATTCGGACACCTTTCTTTTAATTTTCTTGAAAGACCAGTTAATGTTCCACCTAAAAGTTAGTCTTTTAAGATTCTTATTTTATTTCTAAACACTTACCCGTTCCAGCGCCAGCAACAACCATAGCAATGTCGCCTATGAGAGAAAAACAAAAGTATCAAACAAATTCTTTGTACATGTAATGAAAATCTAAAAATCTCCTACCATTACAGGCTTCAAGTATTTCTTCAGCTGTTGTATCATAATGAGCAATTGGATTATATGGATTTCGATATTGATCAAGAATATGTGAATTAGGAATTTGTGTTTTTAATTGATGAGCAACGGCAATATCTGATTCCGGTGAATCAAATGTTGCGTTTATTGGTGTACGAACAATTTCAGTACCTAATGCACGAAGTATATCCACCTAAATAATAAAATATAAGACAAAAAAATACAACTTCTATTTAACTTTTTCTTTGCTCATCTTTTCTGGCATAACAGCAATGCATGGATAATTCTTTACCGCACAGACTAATGCTAATCCAATGCCTGTATTTCCAGCCGTTGATTCAATGATAGTATCGCCAGGTTTTAATGATCCATTACGTTCAGCTTCTTCAATCATACGTAAACCAATTCGATCTTTAACACTACCACCAGGATTCAAATATTCAAGTTTAGCCACTAGATAAAAGTAAAGTCGTTTAAAAAAGTGTTCTTTATTTATTAACGAAAGAATATCTAAAAAAGTGTTGACGAAAATCATGGCGAAGTGATCGGAATTAACCCAAATGGGATAGTTCGAATTAGTATAGCGATTATAGTTAGACAATATCTATAAAATTCTTCAGCTCTTATCGTGATCTTTCGAACAGAATAGTCCATATTTGACTTCAATGTCGATCGATGCGTATTTCGAATTGTTTCAATGACTTTTTTCGGTCAAGTTTTTAGCTCGTATCGCACTCTGGGATATGTAAAAAAGTAAATCTCACCAAAACAACTATTTTTTTTATTACTTTTTCGCGGACCGTTTTGTTGCGAAAGAGAGTTTCAGAAGTTTAGGACCAACTTGAAATAGTTTAGATAACTTTTTGATGAAATTAATTTTTTTACATGTCACTGAAAAAGCTAGAACTATATTCGAAAGCGAATTTCTAATATTTCAAATCTGAATTAAAAACAATGAAATAACAGTTATCACATTATATCAATATGGACGAACGACGACATGATTCATTGATGTTAGTGTATAATTAATTAATGACGCTAAGATCATTTGTTAAACGTAAACATACTTATAAATTCTACTTGAAAGATCACGATAAAAATTGAAGAATTTTGTAGATAATCTCTGACTATAATCACTAGACTGATCCGAACTATCCTAAATGCAATTTTACATGATTAAGGATAGTTTTAGAGTTTTATTCAGTCTTAAAATGATTTATTCATTCACCAAAACATTTTCAAGTCCCGCAGATAAGACTTTGAGTTATCGAATAATGTATTAGTTATCCATACAAAAATGAATAAAAAAAACAAGGTTATAAGGTGGAGAAACATGTTCCGGTTATTTTCGCCCAGTGATCTGAATTAGGCCGAATGGGATAACTTGGGATTAGCCACTCAGTCTAGTCTGGATAATTCCACACACCTCGTCATGATTTTTGCTGATACTTTTTTCTAATGCATTATTTTTTTAGAGATTCTTTCGTTAATAGATAGAGGACACATTGTTCTACTTGTGCTTCAAAAATGAAATGTCCATCGCGTAAAATGTATAAGAACGAAACAAAAAAGAAAAGAAAATTTCTCATATTTTGATCCGAATCATCCCGAACAACTCTAGATCAAAAAGTGAATTTAAGGGGGCCCCCTCAAAAAAGTTAGTTTTCGTCAAAATGGTCAAGAGTGGGATAAATACATGGGAAGATAGCCTGTCATTTGCTCTTTCATAAATGATAAAAACTTTTCTTCGATACCTCTTTTTCTCCGAAAAATTTTCAAGGTTTTTGACAACAACTATTCGAAAAACCGCTGGTTTTTCGAAAAATCCACAAATCTTATTCGTTTTTTCTCAAGATGGTGGTCGAGCGGCGCATCTCCAACGAAAGTCAACTATAACCCGATATAAAGTCAAATATTTTTTTTTGTTTACAAGAGCATCAAAAATTGCAGTGCCTATCAGAGCCCTTTTTTTGAAATAGGCTTTGCTTTTATTATATTGAAAAGCGCCTTCTTAATTAGAGCATCATTTTTTGAGAGTTTTTTTCAGTAACCGAACTTGTCAGGGTCCTTTTCCCCTTAAAAGATAAGATTAAAAAAAACTGCCCTCATAGGCACTGCATCCGGACATGCTCTTTCAAACAAAAAAAAAATCAAGTATATATATTGAAGAGCCACTGAGAACTTTTGGAGATGCGATAAGCCATTTTTTGACCCTTATTCGGTCCGTATCTCCATTATACGTCATGGTAGAAGGCTGAAACTTTTATCACATGCATCCTATCATAGGCCCAACATATTCTCCAAATATCAGCCTGTTTGGACGTTCCTGGGCTGAGATCAATTTTTGAGGGGCCCCCTTAAGAAACAAGATTATTAACTTACAAACATTACATTTCACGCCCGCATCACATACTAATCGATTGATACGTACAAGTGGTGTATCACCGATTAATTCAAGAACATTATTGTAGATTTTTTGCCGAAGTGACTTTTGTCTACTGAGTAAATAAATAAAAATCATTATTCACTAAAGAAAACGAACCTAGAACCAAGATTATGTGGACATTCACTTTGATCACCATTAAGAGTAAATGTACAACGACTTGGTGCATCTGGTCGATTGGCCAAAAAACTTTTCATCTTTTCTTCAGATTCAATTTCAGATAAGATGTGAAAAATAAAACGATTAATATGCACACTTGTCTTTTATACAACTACAATCTTCTCACTTAATATGATCCGATTGTAAGAGAGCGTTCCTTTTCTTTTTTTAAATTTATATGCGTACGTATGTACAGGTATTCCTCGTATCTAGAAGAAAGCCAAAAAATATATAATCTATCGCAACATATAACCCGATTATTTAGACTATGGAAGAGTAAATAATAAGTGCTACTACTCATGTAACATTCGACGAACAGTTCGTTCGACCAGTGTCACTCTATCCTATTTAGACTGCTTTTTTGGACAGTGCTTTTCAGTAAATTTTCGTTTTCTATATAACGACAATAGTTATAATCGAGATGTTTTTTACCATATATACCATCCATCATGCGTTATCATTTGATGATGATAGAAGCAGTTAAACGTTTGATAATGTAATTATATATCAGCTTTCTCGAGCGTAACGCGATGACGTTTTGGCCGTAGTATTTTCAAGTTTTCTCAGTAATTAGATTATCTAGGGAGTTCTCTCTTTCGTTATTAGATATGTCTCTGTCTTCCTTACAACTTCTGAAAATTTAAGCTCATTTGAATGTGCTATTTGAAAATTAAAGAAAAAATATATGACGAAACGCGATGACGAACAGAGGACAAAAAATGAGGGTGACCAATTTGTTACTTATTTTACCATGGATGTGCCCTAAATTAAAATTAACTTTCGATAGACGTTACGTAGCAGACATTTTGGAATGCTCAACGAAAAAAAGAACTCTTAAAATGGACTTCTTATTTTGAAGAATGATCAGATTAACTAACGTAACACGATGACGATTTTGTTACGCGATGATAATGATTCCTATTAACAACTATTTTTCTATGTTACGTTTTCTGTATATATATTATGTAAAGACGAGATACTATTTTCATTTCCATGATTAAACTATACAGATATAAAATATGTTTTCTTACACTTTATATCATACGTTACAAGGTGCCCAGAATGAATTCAAAAAATGATAATTTTGAATTCTTATCCATCGAGGTTACGTTTTACGCGTTTTTGCTGATATGTGTGTTATCGCTGTTATTTGCAGTAGAGAGTATCAAGGTAGAAGAGAAAAAAGAAAGTAGAAGAGTAGAAGAAATTTTTTTTCAGGTAGGGAAGAAGAAGACTCTGACGAGGTACGTGTTAAGTGACATCATCATACGTGTATCATCTCTGCCGTTCTTTGTTACGACGTCATATGTATTTCATCTATATCTTCTTTTGTTCTATACATATATGTGTGTGTATTCGTCTTCTTCTTTCTTCTGGTGACCTCGTCACCGTCCACAGAATTCTTCACCTTTCCTTGTTCTCACACATATATATACTTGCTGCTTTAAACAATAAATCATTCGATTCCATTCTCGTTCATAAGTGTGTAACATAATCTTCTCTGACTATCAGTTTGGTCAAGTGGTCGACTACCTTCTCACATACGTTCGTTTTAGTTCAGTAGAAGACAAGCTGATATTCTGTTATCGATTGATGTATCGGATTAACAGTTGGCGATATTGTCTGTAGTGGCTGTCGTGTGGCTGGGTTTATTGTGTAAAATTTGGTGAGAGATTTGTTTGGTTTGGTTTGACTTGGAAGAGAGAAGCTTGGGCAAAAGTTATGTTGTAGTGGTCGTGAGAGAATTTTCGTTTCTCACTTCATGTTCAGGGATCATTCGTTGGAATCGATGATGTTGTTTCTTCGGTGAAACATAGAACATGATCGATTAGAAACTGCCCGGAGGAAGAGAGAAGTTGTCGAATGCCTTCTGATGTTCTTTCTCTAGTTGCTGAGAGTCGCTTTTCTTTATCAGTATTGTGACGATTTTTGATAGAAGAAGCGTTAGCGCTGATGAAACTACGCTTTATCATCGCTCTTTTCACCTTGTATGCCATCGTTTTCATACAAAACATATGCTTGTATACTTGACCATGAGAGAGTAGAAAAGGACAAAAAAGGATGATAAGGACAAATGGTGACAAAGTACATGATATATTCAATAAAGACAATAATGGACTTGAGCGAGAGCGTTACAAGTATGTAGTTTATGTTAGAGATGCATGATACGCGCGTTTCAAAATTTGTTTCGTGCGACGAGGCTAGAGCGGAGTTCGAAAACTTTGTATAAGCCCTGCAGAATTTAATGCGCGACAATTACTCCAGGGGATGTTCAAATTCGAAGATGTTCACTGGATAGCAGTGGTACTCAATCCTCGTACCTGTACGTTGAAGTTGACACCAGATTATGAGCGTATCCATGCTCATGTTTTAGTTCGGTATCAAGTAACGAAAATTATGCAAGCACAGACTGTGGAAGATAACTGTTTCACAGTACATCCGCTATGCATTGATCACCAGCCAACTTCCAACAAGAAATTCAAATTTTATACAGCACAATTCGATGATGATGCAGAAGATGGCAAAGTGAACAAGAAGGGGACAGTACCAGCACGTGCTCGGCATAAAATAGCAACTTAATTACAGTCAAATGAGTCTAAAGCAGAGTTGTCGATTGTTTCGAGGAGGGTGAGAAACTAAAAATTTGGCAGAGAGTCAATTTTTCATAACTTCCAGCTAAAAAAAACCCTCTTTTCTTCAAGAGAAAGAAAAAGACCATATTCTTCAAAAAAAAACGACACGATGCTTTCAAGAATATTATTTAAACAAGAAAAAGGAGAGTTTTCCGCGAAACGCGGCACAAACGTAAAGAGTCGTGGCAAAGGGTTTCTTAACTCATCCACTCTTCCTTACTTCATCATCTCATCACGTTACCTCGTTACGTCATCTAACCTCGTACCACACTTCAATGAGAAAGAACTGAAAATGTGGGGCTGTAGGGAGGTAGGTTTTGGGTTACAATTTTCCCCATTGTTGCACGAGTGAAGCACGCTGTCGTTCACGCACTTTTTAAGGTTTCGAGTGCTATAAAGTTCCTCTCAAACAACGGTACCTTTCTCTTTCGTGATAGTGGACAAAGTCATTATCCAAAACATGCTACCTCTCATCACTGGCAGGCCTCTCTTATTTTCGACTATCGTTCCGAAAAACACCTTGTTGTTCGCGGCCGATTGCAGGATATCCTAAGAAACCTCAAATGTGCGCGAAGAAGACCATGTTTCACAGATGCAACAATGGGAAAAACTGCAGCTAAAAAGCATCTCTGCCACCTCCCATTTTCAGTCCTTTCTCGTTGGAGTATGGCACGAGGTGAAGTAAGTAACGAAGTCCCCAGGTAACAAGACGAAGGGTTTCAGGGTAAAAGATAGTTGTTGAAATCTGTGTATTGATTTGATGCGATTGTGCGAATATTTGCGGCAATCAACACATGTCAATCGAAGCTTTCTGTTAACATGTAGTTATTGATGAAGCGCGTTGAAAATGGAAGAGAAGTGGCGAATCGAAGCATTATAACTTATTGAGAAGGACGTAGCTATGTGCCCGTTTTTCTTCCGCTTTTTGAATAACACACCGCTAAATGATATATGCCATAAACTAATGTGACAAGGCAAGTCTTGCATAGCAGCTTCGACTTCGAACGGCAACCAATATTTGATGTTTTATTGTTCTTTCAAATGTCTTTACTTGTTACACACTGGCTAAAGTCAAAACGCACATGAGTCCTCAACAGAAACTATTTACTCGTTTATCAGATATTACATAAGAAAGATTACAGAAGAAGTTCTAGCAGAAGTCTAAACACACAAGTAAAATCACAACCCTAAAGAAAACAACAACATAGATTGGGCTCCGTCGAAAAATTTGGGCAGAAACAGTACATCGAAAACTTTTTGTCGCAAAAAATAACCTACTGTTGAATTTCTGCGAGCATTTTATAGAGTCTTCCTGATACTATCTGTCTCGTGTGGCAGTAAGTAAAACGGGTGTGAGTATGGGTGATGTGGGGCCAAGAGAAGATAAGAACTAACACCCACGCCCACACCCACACCCACACACACGCACCTCACACCCACACCCACACCCACACCCTCACCCTCACATCCACACCGCACACCTACCCACACACCCACACACCCACACCCACACCCACACCCCACACACCCACACTCACACCCACACACCCTAAGCTTGACCAAAAGTTTTGACCACGAAAGTAAAAACGACTATCCCGTCTCCCGTTTCCGTGGCCAGAACTTTTCAAATGTCTTAAGCATGTTATGCGAAAAGCAGCGTTTCACTATGCGCAACGCGTTGTATACTCTGGAGAAGCACGGGTCACTTGACTGCAACAGCGGTTATATTAATGAGTCATATTCATAATTCATTTATTCGTCGCAAGCTCAGGTATTTTGTGGGAAACAAGTAAATTGTGAATATGACTATTTGGGCTGACTATGGCAATATAGAAGAAATTCATGATAGTTCTATGCGAATTCGATCTAAAATATTGAATAATTCAGTCATTGTGAATCAACTTTGAAGAAATCAGTTTGGTTTTGTAATTAATTTCAATAAATATTTTCCCCATATTAATTGACATACAGCAATTTCGTTTTGAAAGGCTCTTTCCTTCTCAGATGAAATCAATTTGTTCATGATCTCTCCAAGCAAAATTAATACCGATAATATAGTTTCTTTCAATGTTTAGACAGGAGAACTCTCATGAATATTTCAAACGGACCATAAAATCGTTTACAGTGCTCAATCGTTACAGTTGTTTCATTTTTTTGTTAATATAGAAAACGCCACATTTTGAATCATTTTAAATTAGACTCTTTATGGTGTGCAGTTAGAAAGACTAAATAAAGATAGAAGTTTATGAATTGACAGCGAACGTGATGATTATATTTTGTTGACGACAACAGATGAATTTGCTTCTTTATTATCTATTAATGTATTCTGATGTTGCTGATCGTCTTCATCCTGTTTTTCTGGACGAATCATCAAGTGCCAGCATTCGACAGGTAATACTTGTAATCGATGCATTAATTGAAACGACATACAAAGCCATACGCAGCCAAAAACAAGACAAATACCAACCTCAATAAAATAAGCCTCTCCTTTGGGCAGCCAATTGGCTACATGAAGCACTACACTTGATGATACAATGTAACCGCAATTACTTAAAGATGCAACGAGTGTGTAATATGAGGAACCAATACGTGTGTCACTGATGTAAGCGAGAAATCCGCCACGTGTTGTGACTTGAACACAATTGAGCACTTCACTGAGACCAAGTAGAATGGCCAGAAGAACATAAAAAATGGTAGGATGGAACTGTAAATGTGTACCGAAGTAAATGAATACAGCGATGAGTAGACATACGATGAGACGAGGCACATGAGTGTGAGCATAGAAGCTCAATGGCTGATTAATTTTCAAGAGAAAAGCTGGTACGGTAATTTTAATTAATATAAGAGGTATCGTAATTAAACCAAGTGTTGCACGTGTAATTATACGTCGACTAAAAATGATAATGAGAAAAGAAGTATTATAAATTATCCTTCCCTGTGGCTAGGGATTAACATGAAAAAAGTCTGGGAGGAGAAAATTTCTTTTCAAAAGCGTACAATCTCTGACTCAAGTGATGGAGGTTAAAGATTGACAAACAGGAACTTCTCCTCAACTCTTCAAGCTTCACGATTGTGAAAATCAAAACAGCGTAATTTTCACGAAATTTTTTGCTTCATCATAAACACATATGAAGAAAGATAGGAAAAGGAATATATGATTACAAAGAACGTTATAGAAAATGCATCATTTTAGCTATTATGAATGGTAGAACTGTAGAGAAATCGCGCTTAATTTTTTTGATTCCTTCAGAAATTATTCTGGTTCTGTTGATAGTTCGTCGATGACTGAGGAGTTTCTAGTTGTCAATTCTCGAACACTGCTGGATTTTCAACAGTTATCTCAAAGGTGAGGTGCAAATGCGAAAAATGAACAAACTTTTATTCCTGACGCTATCTAGGAAACAAGTCTTTACTCGTATATATTCAAAATGAAAAAAGTCAGTAATAGATGACAACTGAGCTTTTAAGAATAATTTTTCCAGAAAAATTGTCTCCAATTCTTCATTTCTCACTGTCTTGACGACTCGAGTAGAGATATCAATTAGTATTTATTTTTAATTTAATATACTCGTAAATGGAATTACAAACAAGTTGGCTTTAAAATATCTCAGAGTATTCGCACATCTCAGAGATGTTTATGGCGCAGGCGACTTTGGAATTTAGTTAAGATTGGAATAGTATTTTTCTGTTTTATTATTAGAAGCATCGTTACCATATAAGACTGAAAATACTGTTATTCACAAATATCTGTTTTCTTTTTTAGAATAATTACAAATTTTTGCCATAGTTTTTCTGCTCATGGTGATACGAGGACATTGAATAATCGGTTAAATATGACTGAAATTAAACATTTTATTTTCCATAAAGAGCAAGACTTGTCTTCATAGAACGAACAATTATTCTTTTTTTCATCGATATGCAGTTATTTTCTTATATTTTATTTTGAGAAATGGAGCATGAGGATATTCAAGTGATTGGTTGAATTTTATAGAAAAAATCCGATTTTTCGTAAAATAAACTATTATATTTTTTCTATAATGAATATAAACTATTTTTTGATTTTTTCTAAGCATGGGGACATGGGAACATTCCATGATTAGTTAAAATTAACCGACAAGAAAAAACCTTTGTTTTTCACCCTCTAGCAAAATTCTTTTTTTTCTCAGATGCATCTAATTTTTTCGATTTTTTTAATAATGGGAACATGAGGATATTGAGTGGTTGATCAAATTTAATTTAAAATCTATTACTACAATGAATAAAAATTGAAGTTTTCTCTACTTACAATGAGGATATTGGAAGATGCTTGAGTTTTTAAATACTTTTTGAAATACATTACCACGAGCAGGAGTGGACGGTAGATTCACGAAAAAAAAGAATGTATTTCATCATACATTTCTTTCTATGAATGAGTTAATTATAAGATTAATGGTTATTTACATATGTACTTCGATGGGATTTACAATATGAGTCCTTCTCTGAGTGAATTACCTTATCTAATTTGTAGAACTCTATTCTGTTTATAATTTTTCTTTTCTAACAATTTTCTCTCTTTTTTCTTTTTTTTTGCGCATTCCAATGTCAACCGAATTTCCAAGCCTACTGTGACATTTATAAAAGCAAATAGTTAATGAACATTGATAATCAATTTGGAAAGGAGAATATGGGTATGTAGCGTCATTGATCGACAAGAGCATCCCTCAAAGGAGAACTGGATACAACCTGGACTGATGGGTTTGACTTAGGCTCACTTCATCCGACTAATTTTTGCTCTATAAAACTATTCATAAAAATTGTGTAGTCGAGCAATACCTCTGACACTTATTTAAAACGGCAATTACTCACTTAATCAATGTGACATTGGTCATGTATAGAGTAGCTGCATAGCCGAAAGTTGGACCAATGAGTATAATGAGAAACTGACGAAAATTCTTTTTCTTGAATAGTTTAACAAGATACAAGTATGTCTCTAACAAGGTTAAATGGGAACAACCATGATTCTTTTCATTGGTATTAAATTTCTTCTGCCATTTTTCAACATATAGTGTAAGAATACAACTTGTAATTAAAAACATCACACCCCAAAATCTCAGAAACTGAGCTAAAGTGAACAGTCCATAAGGCTGAGTAGTGATGCCCAACGGTTGACGAATCCATCTATTAGTCGTATTAGCCGATTCAAATGCGAGAAGAAATGGTGAGCCGATAAAATTACCTAATGGTTGTCCAATCATTTGTGAAATCGGCTGCCATATAACATTCGAGGAACTGAACAACGTTAATGCCCATCCGTCGACACATATATCTTGGGTAGAAACGAAAAACATAATGAAGAAAAGAATGATAGTGAGTGTGATAATACGCAATTGAAGAAGTAACGTTTCCAAGTAAAATGAAAGGACAATGAACGTTATACCAAGTAAGAGTTGAACAGGTAGTAACCAAGTATGTCGTTGACCCAATCGACGAATGTATAAGGCATCGATAAGAGGAGCCCAAAATACTTTCAGAAACGATGGATAGCTAGCGAAAGACAAAGTACCTTGTTGTTTCCATGTGGCACCAAACGAAGCTGCGTAGAGTGGTACAGCCTCGACTATACCAAATGTAACACCTTGTAGAATATAGAGCGCGAATACAAGACAAATGCGCACCCAAAGAGGTACTTGTTGCTGAATCTAGCACAAAAATAAAAGAAATACCTTGAAAAGAGAAACATGGAAGCATTGTGATACGACAATATAGTCTTTAATTTAACATAATCCCTTCCCCTGTCGTAATAAAAGGCCTGGAGCCTTCTACAATGCCGCAGCAAACAAAAACTTTGTAGAGACCTTCTAACATGACCACCTCTTTTCAAAGTTTTTAACTAGAAAAGATTTCTAGAAAACGAAGATAATTTGTCTAGTTCTTTGACGTTTTTCATTGCTTTCGGCGTCAAATAAAACTGCTTTGTCTTGTTTTAGCGAGAATTCCACCTGAAAGCTCTGAAAAGTAGGCAGTTTCTCGTAAAAAAAAGCTTTCATAAGAGTTAAATATTAATTAAAATTGTGGACCTTCGATTAGGGATTTCACATTGTGTTCTCTCGAAGGTCTTCTCATTAGAGAGGCCCTTCTATTGCGAGGGAAGTTACATCGAGGGTTTCATTTCGATTAATTTATATAAATATATGAATGTGTGAGAGAATAACCTAAAAATTTAATTGAAGAATAGAAAACGTTGAAAATAGACACGCACGAATGTTAATTTTGTTTTATGCTGAAAATCGGTTTTTCTCCATTTGAAAGAAATTATCAGGATGTTTCAAGTACTGAACAAGGTAGACCATTTTAGTTATGAGAACATGCGTAACATTGATTTTTCTCAGCAATGTAATGCTTTACAATTTTCATTTCAACGAAATAGTGCTTCAACTATATGAAATTTAATTTATCAAATTCTTATATATATGCAATACGGATTTCTTACGAAAAATACAGATTGAATTCTCAAAATTGAAAATTTTCGACAGTCAAAAGCTATTTATCGTTTGTTTATGAATTTATATGCAACCACTAAAGTGCAGTATTTACCTGTCCTTCTACTGATCTATTCATTTTTGCGTTGATGTCTTTATTGATGATCGGTCGTATTTGTGAGATTCTTCTATTTGACTCTCTCGTATGTATATTCTAACTCGAATGATTAATACTCGAAAAAAAGCATAAAAAATGTGAAGCTTCGATGAGAAAGAAAAGAAATGCGAACAGAACAGGTACTAACAGTAAGAGAATGTGTGAAGGCACATGATGTATGTGCCTGTAACACTGTAAAACATAATAAACGCTATACGAATATTTTCATTTCGTTGCGATCTGTGACAGAACGAAAAAATAAAAAAGGCATGATATGCATGAATGCAGACGTAAGAAAAAGGAACAGAACGAAAGAACACGTTTCTCATTAGTTCTGGAACAAGTAGCGCTCATCCTTTGGATTCGCAGACTCTTTCCTGAAAGACTCACTCTGTACTTGATAGCAACGTCAAACTAACTCATATGGGAACATATGCCTACTAAATATTACAGTCAGTCGATTGAGAGATAAGGGTGAAACAGCGAACTTTTGATAATTGAAGTCACTTTTCTGTATTATCAAGTACTTTGCACATATGTTGCCTACTTTAGGCTTCTTAAATCCACTTAAAGCTATCTTCAATTCACTTTGAGCTATTATAGATACTTTGAAGTACTTCAAAATTTCTTACAATAAATCAATTGCAGAAGTGTTCCAAGGATTTATTCAAAAAAACCATAAAAACAAAAACATAGAAAAAACATCGATGAGTTAAAACGGAATAAAACAGAGAAGATAACATGTTCATGTGCGACTTCGCTTTGATGAAGGAGCTGATTGCGACTGTGATGCCAAACAACGTTGACTAGTCTGTATAGCTTTATCCAATGCTACTGGAGAAACATTATGAGATGTTGTTAGTGTAGTAGTTGATGAACCAGCCAGAACTTGTGTTAGTGGTGCAAGTACTTCAGATGAAGACGTTGGAATAATAAATATTGATGATTGATGTTGTGTCAATTTTAAATCTTTTGCAACTTTTTTTATGCTTTTCATACGATAACAGCTTTTTCGATGCAAATATCTATAATAATTTGAAAGTTGAATTTTGATGTGAGTTTTTTCTAATGGTGTTTATTTGCCACATTTCCATTTAATGCTGGCCATTCCATCAATATGAACATCAAAATCGATGTTCAATGTAAAATCAATGTTTTTTTCTAGACAAAAATTATCCAGATTTTAATTGTCTTTGTTTTGTGAACACCATTTTTTGATCAATCTAAAACCATGTTCTCTAGGTTCAGATATGGTTAATTTCTTACATATTTTGGATGCTTCTATTGCTTGTGAAGATATAAACGATGAGTTTACATTAATAATTGTTGTTGTCTTTTCTTCGATTCTCTTAGTTGTTCATTTAGTTTGTTTATGTAAAGCATATTTTCATGAATGAAATCCAGAAATAATTCCAGGTTTATCAAGAACTTGCCATTTTTCAGTTTGAAACATAGCTGCTGCTTCAGGTTCTCTAAATCTTCCTTTTGAATATAAAAATTAAAAATGTCTCATGGATCATCGATAGATAAAAACGACACTATAGATCTTATTGAAGTTTTGTTTAACTGATTAGCTTCAGGTGAAACATGAGTCGTCTTAATGAATTAGAAAAAATTCGTGATCGGTGTATAGCAACACTTTACCTGACAAAAATCGAAACTATCGCAGGTCGACATGGCAACAATTTTCTAAAATTAAATGTCAGTAAAAATATGGGAACATTTAATAAATAATATTCGGGGTTTCCAAATAATGGTAGCAAAAATCAGCGCAACGAAAAAATAATAAACAATCGTAGTAGAATGTAATAGACTAATATTAGCTAATACAATTCACCAATGATGAATAAGGAGACTATTTCTATTTTTTCTGCTTGAATGCACTTTTAATTCTTACAAAAAGCGGCGAAATCTGTGAGACACTTTTGGTAAGAAGGCTTTTTATGATTCTTAATGAACCTTCGCAAACCATATAAATAGATTATGGATAAGGTACTATACTAACTA